GATTTCAGCATCTAGAAGTAATTTGAAGTTATATAAACCTCCAGACTCTTCATGCATCAGCAGCATCAGATTTACAGCATAGCTGTGCAATAATAATTCAGTAATTTTGCTAATGTTCATTTTTTAACTTCCAAATATACCCAAGTTGACAATCAGGTAACTGCCCTCTAATCCAGCCAGAACAAAGATTTTTGTTGTCATTTTGGGTTTTTTTTTGTTGTGGTGGTGGTTTTTGCTTTTGTTTTCTTTTCCCCTTCAGAGGAAAGCAGTTGTCTTCAGAGTCAGGGCCTGGAGTCAAGGTTTAGTCAAGGTATGGTCCAATAGATGCTCTGCAAAGCCTGGTATGCTGGACACTCATGGGTGCCTGCACTAGGTTCTAGCAAACCCTAGTGAAGTTCTCTAGTCTGCACATCATCTCTTACCCCACCTCCATTTCCACACCTGAAGACAGAGATCATGGCTATCTCATTGAGTCCTTGTGAAAATTAGACAACAAACAAAAAGTCTTTACAGTTTCTAATGCATTAGACAAATATTATTATTGTTTTAATAATAGATTTATACATGTTAAGACAGGAAGTTACAATAAAAGGGGTCAATATCCTTTAATTCAGGAGGATATCTCTATTTTCCAAGAATGCCTATCTATTACTGGATTTCTATTGACCTACAGGGAAGCACAGTGGTAAAGAATCTGCCTGCCAATGCAGGAGATACAAGAGATGCAGGCTCAATCCCTGGTCAGAAAGATTCCCTGGAGTAGGAAATGGCAACCCACTCTAGTATTCTTGCCTGGAAAATTCCATGGACAGAGGAGCCTTGTGGGCTTCCGTCCATGAGGTTGCAAAGAGTTGGACACAACTGAGCAACTGCGTATGCAAGCATTGACCTACAATCTAGATTTGAAAACTAGACTAAACCCAAATTTGCTTCTGAGAAAGGAAATGAGGACGGAGTATGTTTCTATTTGCAGTCTCTCAGCTTCTCGCGGAAAACTCTGCCCACCCCACAGACTGCTTCCCCAGCATGCTCCTCCAGAGCCACACCCAGGTAAAAGATGCTGGCCTGAGACACAGCCCAAACCATTAGTAGACACACTTCCAGTTTGACAAGATGAGTGAGTTTTCTTCTCAATGTGGATTGTATTTTCTTGACATCTCTTAGTTACTCACTAACCCGTTTCACCATGGCCTCATAACTGTTTTGTGAATAGAAAAGAAACAGGAGAATTTGGAGAGGCATCAGTCTTCTTAAATATGTCTACTTCAGCTCTGGAGGCCCAGTTTCCCTGTAGGCTCTTCCTGGTTATTTTCTTAGTGTCTAAGGACTAGCCATAGCCTCCTAATCCCAGAGGTGAGAAGGACAGGCAGGGGACACCTCAGATCCCATCTTTCCCTGGGCTGAGAGGGTGTAGCCTCCAGCCAGATGAGTCCATTGGCAGAGACCATTCTGGCCTGGGCTAGCCTACCCTCTGAAGGCCGCTGGCAGTCTTCTCCACCAGCCTCCCTAGGAGAGATGTGAGTTCCTGGGCTATGCCTCTGGCTCATTCTGAGAGACAGGCTCAGGGTAGAGGGGAGGTGCCAGTCAGGTGGAGCTGGACTAAAGGGAGTGGAGTCAAAGGCAAGACAGTGAGGCAAGCCATGGGCACTGGGGTTCTGGAGTAGAGAATGCCCCAATACCACGTGGCAGCAGTACTCAAGCTTTGACCATTTCTAGGGCTTCACAGACACAGATTTGATTAAAGTGAAACAGCACAGGTAAAAGTCAGTCTCAAAAGAGGAAAGAATTTGAACCCAGCCTAGCTGTTGACCAACCACAAAGTTCCACTTGAAGTTAGTGTCCCATCTATGGAAGTCTTCCAGAAGAGTTTAGACACCTGTCTTGGGGTAAGGGTGAGTTGGTAAGATGTCCTCTGTGAGCCCACCATGCTAGGCCACCTTAAGATTAAGCAGAATGTCCTACCTAGGCCTCAGTGACTTTAAACTCTTCCATTCTTTCCAACTCCATCCTAGGTGGCCTGAAGGCCTGGACTCTTGCCCCATAGACTCCATGGCAAACCCTGAGTTGACAGAGCAGGAGATCTGATTCACAGGTGACACAATTATTCTAAGAGCTTTCAGAATGGTATTGGCAGAACAAGGCAGGTCTTGACCAGAAACACGTCTTCACTCGTTTTCTACATTGTTCTTCCTCCCAGAGTAAAAAAGAATCAATCCTAGAACTATACCCACTGAGGGAGCCCTGTGCCCACACCTGTGCTAACCTGTCCCAGACCCATGGCCACACTTGCTCCCCAGCACTTCTGGGTCAGCCATGTTTGAAGGATGAGGTAACAGCAGCTCAGAGCAAGCAAGTGGTGGGGGCAGAATTTGAACCCAGGTTCTAGTGACCCCAAAGCTGATGCTTTTTCCCATGTGGGCTCCCTCCAACCTTAGATGGGCTTTAGAAAGCCAAGATTGATCTCTGGCATCTTGTTTAATCTACAGCTTATGCTATAATTACGGGATAGTACCAATTCTGAAAGAAGTACTTTAATGATGAGATATTCATAAAATTCACATAGACCATTACGAAAATTCCATACCTGCCTTCAGATGAACATGATTTTTTGAAAAAAGAAATCTTGCAGAGAGAACTCACCTTTGGTTAGGTGAGTTTCTGGATACTGCTGGTAATGCTGTCTTTTTTTGATGGTAAGGAAATGATGGATCTTCCTTGGAGCTCATAGCCGGTGAAATGAGGGGTAGGATGGTAAATTGCCTTTATCTTTTGCACGCCATTCCACATGATGGCAATGTCACAAAAGACCACAGGCAAAATTCTAGAACTTTTTCTGAAAGAGGAAAAACAGAGGCCCTCTCTTTTCCTGGACTTTTGCTCCCCCAGTCCTCTTCCACTGTCAGATTTCTAAAATAAAGTACCAAGTTCAGCAGGCTTTGCTCTACTAACTCCACACCCTTGAGGCTCAGCCCCACATCCTCAGAAAGGCTCAGAACACATTCTTTTCAAGGTCGAGATCTTCACTGTCTCCAGCCTGGGCTCTGTCCTCATTTATAGCCTTCAAAGTTTTCTGAAACTGGGGGCTTCAGGTTTATAGACTGCATAGAAAAGCTTGTCTCCACTTGAGTCTTTGCAAGCTAATGCAATACATGTGACCATGTTTTGTCTGTTTGCTGTTGTTACTGTTTGCCTAAATAAAATGGACTGAAATGATGATTTCTCTATTGGGGGGAAGAGGTGAATCCCAGCAAGGGAGTTGCTTTCTGTTTATAGAAAATCTGCCAAGGAAGGTATTGAATGAGCAAGGTTGGGGAACCTAGACAGACATCAGAGCAGTGCTGTGATGCAAAGATAAAGAGGTGCAGGCCTGTTGGGGCACTCGGGTACCAGACCTTGTCACATGAAGCTGCAGTCCCTGTGGGCTGAATGTCCCTCTGGGATGCGTGTGGGAGCAGAGTCCATGGGTACCTGAACAGGACTGAGGCAGAGGTCATGGCTGGAGAGTGGCAGATCTTGATTTGGTTTGGAGGAACATCCAGAACGAAAACCTGGTTTGGGGAGTAGAAGGGGCATCTCAGGGAAACAGAGGAGGAAATAAATAGAACTGGAAAAGGAACCACAGAACCCCAGAGGCCAAGGAACTGGGATTTATACATTCTTGCTGAGCAGGAGAAGGCAATGGCACCCCACTCCAGTATTCTTGCCTGGAAAATCCCATGGACGGAGGAGCCTGGTAGGCTGCAGTCCATGGGGTCGGTGAGTCGGACACGACTGAGCAACTTCACTTTCACTTTTCACTTTCATGCATTGGAGAAGGAAATGGCAACCCACTCCAGTGTTCTTGCCTGGAGAATCCCAGGGACGGGGGAGCCTGGTGAGCTGCCATCTATGGGGTCACACAGAGTCGGACACGACTGAAGCGACTTAGCAGCAATAGCAGCATCTGAGCAGAAGCAGCATGTCACATGGAGAGGTTCCTTCCCCACACCCTCCCCAACACTGCATCCTATACACCTTTATACTCTTCCCTACCACATAGCTTAAAATGGTGTTTCCTTGGTTTGATTTGTGTTTCTTAATTATATATGTGGTCATATAAATTGGTACAGCTTCCTAAGAGGACAGTTTGGCGACATGTAGCACACTTGATAATTCTCATAGTTTTTAGCCGAGTAGTCCTGCTGCCAAAAATGTTATCTCGTGGATACATTCAGAGATTCAAATCATGAAATCATTACAAGATTTAAGTCTGATAAATCACATAGATTGATGTCCAAAGGTGATCACACAAACATCATTCGTGAAAACCAAGCCCAGCACTGGGGAAGCCCCCACCAGGCCCCATCCCTCTGTGCCAGGCTGCCCAGCTACTGTGGCCACAGGACAGTGTGGGCACCTCCAGGAGCAGGGTGGAGACCTGCATGGATACGATGAGCCCACATACCAAGAACAGTTCATTTTAAACTGTGTGAGCAAATAGACTGCCATATGGCTAAAACTCTTTTGGAAATTAACTATAGATGTTTTTTGTGTGGGAACAGTAGTTTGCAGACTATTGTTTTATACCTCATGACTTTCTGTATCGTCTGCACTTTTTAGCCATACATTCAAGTGTCAGTATATTATATTCATAAATAATATACTGTAGTCACATGTGTTTTGTTCACATGGGCAAAGAAGGCCAAGCTGTGGTTATGGGAAATCCAGTGTAGAGTGTGAGGCCCCAAACTTGCTCTTGCATGGCCCTGGGATTTCTCCAGGGGCCATGCTTCAGGCAGCAGTGTATTCTGGAATCATATAATAGCAAGGGGGATGGCAAGAACCCAGCCTTCAATAGGGCAGTGTGGGAGCAAGAAGAGCTTGGGAAATAATCTTGCTGCTCTGGGAAGTCGATGGCCATTCTGGATGCCCCAACCCCACAAAGGCCCAGGAAGTTCCACCTCTCCCTCCTTTTGTACCATTGAGACATTTGGTCACCACCATCATTTTCTGTCCCACAGGAGGTACCCCAGCTCCGACAAGACCATGCTGCAGAAGTGGCAGGTACAGTGACCTCTCAGAACACTGTGGGCTCAAGGAAACCCTCAGGAAAGCAACTCAGCAATAGCTCAGGCCCCAGGGATGAAGAGAGAAGGCACACTGGTGAATCAGGAGGGATCTTGTTTTATTAATTTGTTAAAATGTCTCAAGCATTTCCCTGAAGAGATCTCAGTGAAGAAAGGCGATTCTTGAGTCAGAGCTGGGGAGTTAGTATGAGTGTGTGTGTGCACATACATAAGCTCTATGTGCACACATATGCTCCATCCATGAAGGTGTACACATATGTATAATTGAACACACAACTCAGGAAGGCACAGCTTTCACTTCACTTCCTGGGAAGTCATATGTGGCTCCCAGCCTGGATGAACTGACACTCTGCCTTAGGTTCTCAGTGGAAGGAAAGGATCCCAAGAAAGACAGCCATACAGAGCCCATGGCAACAGGAAAGTAAACCTTGGTCACTCATGTCCAAAATCCTTTCCCAAGGAGCAGGCCAAGGAAAGGAGAGACCACAGCATGCAGGTCCCATCAGAGATGATGTCTCTACTGGCTGCTCATAAGCCAGGTGGCCTTGGTGAATTTTTCCCAAATATAGTCCCTGGCTCCATTCATGACTATACATCTGGAAACAGAGGGCCCTAAGAACACAGAGTATCCTAACTGGCAGAGTCAGAAGAAAGAAAGTTCAAGTTCCCAAGAAAGCAGATCATTGAGCCTGTTGGTGAGGACCTCTTTCCTGGTGACTGCAAAGAACCCCCCAGCTTATATTTTCAATCATAAAGCAGTCAGCAGTAAGAAGGTCTGATATTTGTGCTATTATTTTAATCAATTTTTGAGTATCACCCAACAGTTAACACAAAAGAATGCTTTAGCCTCGGCTTGGACCTCTGAGCAGTGTTTTTTTCCTAGTAAACTTTGCTTCCTGACTATATTTGCTTCAACTCATCTTGGAATTAGTGTGGGCTCCCCGAGTTGCCTGGGCTCCAGGCACAAGGTTCCCACTTACACAGCCAGGGCCTCCTGCACAGGTCTGGGAGTTAGACCCCTGTGGTTTTCAGGAGGAAACCTGTTGGGTTTATCCCCACTTTGTCTCTTCTGGCAGAAAAGAGACATCAGCAACTTCGAGTATCTCATGTACCTCAACACCCTGGCTGGGAGGACCTACAATGACTACATGCAGTATCCAGTGTTCCCCTGGGTCCTGGCCGACTACACCTCACAGGTACGTGTTCACGTGGTTGGTATGCAGGTGTCCTGTGGCTTTTTTGACCCTGATGACCAGAGCACCTGCAGTCATGCAGAGCCTCTGCGATGGGCTCAGTAGTCTACCTGGGCCTGAGGGCTGCTCCAGGCTTGGCCGCTCACCTGGCCTTTGGAGTCTGGGTGCCTGTCCCAGCCCCACATGACTAGGACAGTAGCTGACATGTGCCCCAGAGGGTTTCCTGGCTCACTGCTACCATGAAGGCAAGAGATACCCATCTGCTGAGATACTGCCATGGGCTAACACTGGTCCGTCAAGTGAAGAGGGCCATAAGATGTGTTCCTAGAACCAACATGTAGAGAGGGAGAGGGAGGGAGCGGGAGAGAGAGAAGGAGAGGGAGAGAGAGAGAAGGAGAGAGCAAGAGACACAGAGACACAGTGAGAACAGACTCCTCCCCTGTAACCTGACTTCAGTAACTGAGATGATGATATGTGGAGGTGATGATATCACTCTGGATCTGGACCGAGACATATAGCCCTAATGGAGGCTGATGGTAAGACTGGGTCATCGCTCTTTTGCCCTCTGTCCCTGGACCTCAGCAGGCAGAGGAGGGAGGCGCAGAAAAGTGACAAGTTTGGCCAAGGTGATGTCACTGGGGGACACCAGGCTACGGAGCAGTGTCCTGATTGCCTGGGCTCTGGCCATCAGGAGACTTGTGGGGCTGTGTATGTAAATGACCGGAGGTGTCTGGGTGCACTACAGATAAGCACTGGCCAGTGCTGCCTCAAGCTGTTTAGAGAGCTCACCCCCAGAATTTGAGAAAGGGGCCTCAGTCTTTTGTGAGCTCCCTTCCCAATTTGAGACACAACACAGCAAACCTTTTCTCACAAGCCATACATTGCTTCTCACTGCTCGATCATCTGGGACCAAGGTGTTTCAGGAAGGAAACTTGCCAATCCTAGCTTCAACTCACATATTACAAATGGGTGGGTCCCCAACCCATTTTGATTAGCCCATATTCTGTATTAAAATTTAATTTCTTATCGGGTGTTTAAAAATTGGGAGATTTCTTCTAAAAAGCTTGTATTCCAATATCTTTTGGAGAATTTGGAGATGTGGCTACAGCATCAGCTATAGCTGAGCAGGTTTCCATGCTGCTGTCTCTCAAGGGGTCTCAGGAGCTTCACTCTTGCTCCCTTTTCTCACCAGCCATGGTGGCAGGCCCTGCCTCCCCAGGAAAACTGATGATTCACTACAGGTGGAAAGGAAGAGGCGTGTAAAGAAACACCTTCTATAAAGACATGCAAACTCAAAGGACACCCAGCCCTGAAAACTCTTCATGGTGCTACTGTTGTGTATTCCAAGGGCAGGGGAAGGGGCGCCAGGACTGCTTTCACCACCCCAGAAGGGAGGTGCCTCCCAAAACACAAGGCCGTTGCTCTCATTTCCTCCCCAAACAGACGACTTCTGACTGCCTACAAAATCAGTTTGAGTCTAAGCAAGAACCCTGAACCGCAAACTGCTCAGCGAGGGCAGAAGCCAAGTATCCATTGACAACAGGAATTCTTTTGAAAGTCTCTTGGGTAACTGGTGGCGATGTTCTGATTTGGGTCAACTTGGAAGAGTTCAGTGTGAAATCAATCTTCCCCTCCTCTCATTTCCCATCTCTCACCTATTAAGTCTTTGTGGATCACTGGCTGTGGGGCCATAAAACCCTACCAGGCCTGCTAATCACCAGAGGAGGGGGGGTCAGAGCGAACGACAGTAAACCAATAAAGAGAACCATAAAACTAAAGACCGTGGCTCCTGCAGTCTCGCAGGGGCACAAGAGGGTCCAGGGGAGTTAACGCCAGTTGCACATTTACCTTCTAGACATTGAACCTGATGAATCCCAAGACTTTCCGTGATCTTTCTAAGCCCATGGGAGCTCAGACCAAGGAAAGGAAGCTGAAATTCATCCAGAGGTTTAAAGAGGTTGAGAAGACTGAAGGTGAGTAGATCCCAGCTTGATTTTTTTCTACAATGCTCTTTATCTGAATGCCTTGAAGTGAGAGTTGATAATGATTTAGGTGTCATCTAGCCTACAGACAATTACATTAGGATAGAGAACTCCCAAATCCAGCAGTCTGCACCCTGGTTGCCTGTGAGAATCACTCGAGAAACTCGTTAAAAATGTTAATGTCTGGGTCCCACCCCTGGAAATCATGATTTAAATAAGTCTGTGATGGGGTGCACTCCAGGTGATTCCAACAGGAAATCAGGACTGAGAACTGTGCTGCCAAAGTGCTTAAACACCTCCATTCCCAGGGGCAGGGATATGACATCCGTTCAGCCCTTTCTGTGTGCAGACCAGCCTGCATTCATACATACAACGGTCCATTTTAAAGAGAAGGAAATTGGGACTCAGACTTCAAGCAATTCACTCAAGGTCATAGCCTCTAAATTACAAAGCCTGCATTCATCTGGTTCTAGAACCTAGTTCCCAAATCCTGTTCGTTCCCACATTCCGTTTACCATTTTACTACCTTCACAGGCCAGCTGCACTCTTAGCGCCTTACTGTTTTTCTTTAGATCTGTTCACCTTTTAAACTTCAATGGATGTATTTTAAAGAGAAAATTTTCTGTCATATATTTGATGCCAGCTATACTGGTTTTCTCAAACATTTTGAAAAACATGAAACTACTAAAATAAGGAACGTCTATCTGTGAGCCATAAATGATTACCTCATGTGCCGGAGGCAGCCCGTTTCAGAAAGCTCACTCAGCCCCGAAGCCCTGCCTTTGGTGAGCAGGTTCTCAGCAGGCTAAGGTTCTGCATCCCACACTGCCCTGAAGGCCCCTGCCCACCCCCCAGGACCCCCACGATGTGCAGGACTGATACTCAAGCTTGCTGGGGGAGATGGGAGGGATGGGCAGGCCACAGGTGGGGATGCAACTCAGCCATGTGCTTTCATTGCAGGAGACATGACCGTCCAGTGCCACTACTGCACTCACTATTCCTCAGCCATCATTGTCGCCTCCTATCTGGTCCGGATGCCACCCTTCACCCAGGCCTTCTGCTCTCTGCAGGTGAGCGCCCTGCTCCCCTACACACACACAGAGCTAGCTCTTGCAGACTAAGAGCTAGGCTTGGATGAGGCAGGGACCCCCCTGCTAGAAATCCAGCCTTGAGCCCATGATTCTCACTTGCCACTGGTTCCAGGACTCTGGACCATCCAGCTGAGGCAAGCTACTCTTCACAGACACACCACCATGTCTACCCAACAGTCTCACCAAAAAAACTGAAAAATAAGGAATGAGATATGGGGGGAACATACTCAACATAAATAGGTTTTAGTGGGAAAGGAGAAACAGGAAGCTTGAAGACTTCCTTGCAGGTAAGGTAGGTAGTCAAAGGCTAGAAAAATAAACACAAAGAAGGAAGAATAAAAAGAATATCACTTGTGATGTCAGAATGCATAAAATATGCTAAGTACAAGTTAAAGGCTTAAAAGGGCAAACAAATTATCTTTAATACTGAAATGAACAGCTAAACTGGAGAAGGAAACTCACCAATTTGCCTACCCATAAATTAACAGAACATCATGCCAGCTTAGGGTTGCCAGATTTCACAAATACAAATACAGGATGCCCAGGTAAATTTGAATTTCAGATAAACAATGGTTTATACTAAAAAATTATTGGCTGTTTATCTGAGATTTAAATTTAGCTGGACATCCTATATTTTACCTGGCAGTCCAATACAGGCTGGAAGCAGGCCAGTCTGACCTTGAGTGAATGCTAGTGTTAAGACACATGGAACAGCTGGAACAAAGTGCCTCATGGGAGGCTGGTATGTTTTTCTCTCTCTTTCCTTCTAACTCTACCACCGGGATCTTGAATTAAGGTTATCCAGGGGCACAAGGGTTGACTGGGGAGAGCCATGGGTATCCCAGTTGCAGGTAGCTGGCTCAGCCAATTCCAAAGAGAACACAGCACAGCATCCAAGCTTAGGGTCTCTCTTGATCGAGGCCTTTTAAGGGTCCTACACAGAGGAAGACATGGCCATGGAGGGTAACAGGCTGCTGAACTTTCAGGGACTCACTCGGACAGCCAAGCTTCACCAAAGAAAAAGCATGAACGTCCCAGGAATTGTGTAGTCTGACTTCACCAGCAAGTTCACTCCTTAAAGTTACTCAGATGACCTTGACCCCAAGACAATAGGCCACTCTGGGCCACTCTGACAATAGGCCAAAAGCCGTCATCTGGGCCCTGGGTAGGAACAAACAGGCAAGGTCAAGGCTCTCTCCCCAGCCAGCAGCAGACCTCTCTTGTCTTTTGTTTCTTGGCACAGTCCTCTCTTTCCTTGAAGGCATGGATTGTCTAGACATTATATAACCCACCTCCCTGGAAATTAACTCAAAAATAACAAGCATGCTTCCCCTGAGCCTTTCTCAAGCAACAGCATTTTAAGTAAGTTTGGTTTGGAGAACAAACGGCCCCTGAGCTATTCCCCATGCCAGGAATCCCATCCAGCTGTTCATCATCAATCCACGTGGAGTGATGAGCCCGCTGACCGTGATGGCCCTGCCTCCCATGACGATTTTCCACCCAGGGAGCTCTAGGTGCTTCAGAAGTTTCCCCTCGCCCCTTCAGTATCACCAAGTACAGCCCCATCTCTACCTGTTACAAAGGGTCATCTCACAGTGAGACGAGGCAAACTGAAATAGAAACATCGAGCTATGAGATTTACATCCCACAGTTATTTTATTTTACTTCTGCATGTTATTTTACTCTGGAAATGAGAGTTAATTATGCACATCTCACTGAGCCATTGAGACTAAAGGAGGAAATGTGGGTAAACCCCTAGCTCAGGGCTGATGCCATGAAGGGGATCAATCATCCTTGTTCCTGTCTCCCTCCCGCCGTAAACCAGATCTCATCTGAGCCAGCCTGAACTGGTGTAAGCTGCCCCTCTCTGGTTTAAGCTAATTCAAGACAGCCTGGACTGTGTCAAAGTATTCCAAATGGTGTGAGTCAGATGAAACAGGTGTGCTGCCAACCTATTGGGTTAAAGCCATTTTGAAGCTAGTTACACGGGTCTGAGCTTATTCTAGCCAGTTTGGTCCAATGGCAACCAGCCCAAGCTGGTTTGAGATGGTCTAAACCAGTGTGAGATGGTCAAAGGCAATTTCATTTGTTTTCACATGGCACCAATGCAGTAATATTAGCTTGAGTTCTTTTGACTCCGGTGCTGACGTCTGATGTGACTCCTGGTTTTTCTGGGTTCAACTCTCTCTGGGACACATTGGCTCATCCAAGTTGAAATCTCCATGATGCTTCTGAATTGTTTTCTCCTTCTGACTTTGAACTGCCTCTTTTAGTAGGTTACAACCAGTTCAAGCCTTGGAGCCAGCCAAAGAACCAACCGACTCTGCTTTTCCCTTATCATAAAAAAGAAACTGTAATCTCTAGGGAATGAATACAACAGCTACATCTGAGGGGAATGTGTGTGGCTCCCATCTGGGAGTCCTAGGGCCTGTGCAAACTTCTTTAGGAACTATCTGGTATCTTCCTGGAGGCAGGCTTCTCCCTCCATTCCACTCTGCCTCCTGGGGGCAGACTTGTTTCTTCTCAAAAGACTTGCTCCACCTGTGTGGTGACAAGGAAAGGAGCCTCCCTACATTCTCAGCAGCCCAAGACTTCTAGCCCCCATCCCCAGCATGGATCTCAGAGTGGAAAAGTGGAAGAAAGGTGGAGAGGTGCAGAATCCAGGCAACGAAGCCTTTCTCACTCATCTGGAGAGCAGGGACATGAGTATGTCCAGTATCTCCAGAGCAGGAGCACATGCAAGAGTCAGCAGAAGAAAGTTCACACTCTTGTTCTGGATGAAACAAAGTCTGCCTCTGAGCTATTATGTGACTGAGCCACAGAGATGCACTCGATCCATGGCTGGGCCAGAATGGTTTTGGTGTGGAGACAGGGTGCCTATGCATTCCCTCTGTGGTCTGATGGAAAACAGGTACAGCATTCTTTGGGCTGTAGCCTGTCCACTGGGCACCGTGCAGAGGGGTGTGGACAGCTTAAGAATGGCAGTGTGGCATATTCTGATTCCTAAGAATAAGGTTTTCTTTCTTCTTTTCACATTTAAATCTTATTAAGTCTTATTAAACTTTATTAGGCTGGTCTTAGAATTGATGTCTACCTCTACTGTTGCTGTGTTTGCTTTTCTGCCTCAAACCTGTTATTACAATGATTAGTTCAGTTCAGTTCAGTCACTCAGTCGTGTCCAACTCTTCACGACCCCATGGACCACAGCACACCAGGCCACCCTGTCCATCACTAACTCCCAGAATCTACTCAAACTCATCTCCATTGAGTCAGTGATGCCATCCAACCATCTGATCTTCTGTTGTCCCCTTCTCCTCCTGCCTTCAATCTTACCCAGCATCAGGGTCTTTTCAAATGAGTCAGCTCTTTGCATCAGGTGGCCAAAGTATTGGAATTTCAGCTTCAACATCAGTCCTTCCAATAAACACTCAGGACTGATCTCCTTTAGGATGGACTGGTTGAATCTCCTTGCAGTCCAAGGGACTCTCAAGAGTCTTCTCCAACACAACAGTTCAAAAACATCAATTCTTCAGTGCTCAGCTTTCTTTATAGTCCAACTCTCACATCCATAGCCTTGACGAGATGGACCTTTGTTGGCAAAGTAATGTCTCTGCTTTTTAATATGCTATCTAGGTTCGTCATAACTTTCCTTCCAAGGAGTAAGTGTCTTTTAACTTCATGGCTGCAGTCACCATCTGCAGTGATTTTGGAGTCCCCAAAAATAAAGTCAGCCACTGTTTCCACTGTTTCCCCAACGATAACCTCTTATAATCCAGAAAATACAGTACATGAACAGTGTGACCTGGGTAGGTGCACATGAAAGCCATGTGACTCAGGCTCCCGCTGGTGATGTGCTTATTCCCACCCCCTGGGGTGTGAGACTGCTGTCTACCGAGCTTGCTTCCCTGGATGCTGTGATCTTGGGAATCTTGCCTGCAGGGAGCCATTGTCTGTGAGCCTTCAGACAGTTGAGCAACCAGGAGGCCACATCAGGCTGGGGCCACAGCACAGGCCCCCATTTCCACCCTGGCAAGAGTACCAGCTGCTCTCAGGCCTGAGCTGAGATCCAGTCTGGGCGGGGCAGAGCAAGGCAGCCAGCACCCCAGCAAGGGCACAGTGCCACCTCCGCTGCCACTGCTGCATTTAATAAGAAACTGAAATCAAGTGCTGTGTTAATTAAGTCACAGCCCATGTGAAGTCAGCTGTTACCAGCAATGGGGAAGAATTTTCTGAACCACCTGAGGCGAGGCGACTGCTTTTGTGTAAGACATATGCCAACTGCAGAGAGAACTGAGGGCTCTGGGCAGCAGTGGACACAGGCCTTTCACCTGGGGCTCTGTGAATGCCAGCCCCTCGTGGAGTTGTGTCCATAATAAAGGTGTAATTGTTATTACCCTTGAAATACCTATCCAGGGACACAGGTGCACATAGATTCTGTGTCCTCATACAAAAGGAATAGCTCCTTCAATACAAAAACTCCTTTCAAGGTGTTTGCAGTTTTAACCAATGCACTGTAATCATGAACTTTACTCTGATTTTAACTCCTGTCAAATATTCAGCAACAGTGCAAAGTGGAACTTGTCACTCATTTCTTCCTGCATTCAATTCAGTTCAATTCAGTTGCTCAGTCATGTCTGACTCTTCACGACCCCATGAACTGCAGCACGCCAGGCCTCCCTATCCATCACCAACTCCCGGAATCCACCCAAACCCAAGTCCATTGAGTTGGTGATGCCATCCAACCATCTCATCCTCTGTCATCCCCTTCTCCTCCTGTCCTCAATCTTTCCCAGCATCAGGGTCTTTTCCAATAAATCAGCTCTTTGCATCAGCTGGCCAAAGCACTGGAGTTTCAGCTTCAACATCAGTCCTTCCAATGAACACCCAGGACTGATCTCCTTTGATTCATCTCTTAGTAAAATTGAGCACCTCTTAAAGTATTTTAATTGAGACAGATACTTAGGATTGTATTATTTCTGACCCCTTCAATATTGGAAATATTCTTCTGGCATCTTTACATATAAGTGATGTTGGCTGGGCATAGACTGTAAGCTTTTGCCTCAGAAACCTACGGACTTAGTTGCCTTGTCTTTTGGCTTTAATGTCATCTAGGAAATCTTCTGCCAATAAGAAGTAGCTCCTCTGTTGATAAGAGTAACCTTGCTATTAATTTTTTTTGGTCTGTTTGGATACTCGGAGGATTCATTAATCTTAATATTCAGAAATATCTGCAGGATAGATTTAGGAGCATGTCTGGGCCCAGAAATTCTCTCTGACCACCCTGTTTCCATCCAGTCTCTGGACCCAATTTGATTGTTGCTTGATTTTGTTTTGGACTTTCCTTATGGGGACTCTCTGTAAACCTTGACTGTGCTTCTCTGCCTTACTTCTCTCCTTTCCTCCTTCTGACTTCTCTTCATTATCTCCTTCCTTCCCTGCCTGAGACTGAAGTCCTGATGGGACTCCTTGATGGCAGCCACTAGAGTCTGTGTCAACCTACAGACTTTGTAACTAATATGAGTTACAAAGCAGCTCCACTTTTCCTTCCAGGGAATTCGGCATTTCTTTTGTATTGCATAAGTGAGCAAACCCATTAATTTTGAAACAAATGTATGCAAATACATTTATTAATATAGGAAATAGGAAAATCAGTTATTGCTTCCTTTATAAATAATACAGGCTTAAGTTTTAAAGATATTACTTTTGCTAAAATGCATTAGACAGCTGTGAAAAAAATAACATTTTTCTTTGTGGTAATATCTTTAACCAGATTTGTAGCACTAACAATATTTCCCATGTATATATTATTTTTATTTAATACAGGTAATCTTTTTATTACCAAATCATATTGTTTCTCGGGAGATTACCATCAGCACTCATAAAAGCTGCAAAAGGAAAGCGGAACGACGAGGCAGCATCCATCTCCCTCCGATGCAAGGCTTGGGCTGCAGATTAAATACACAAAGCTCTTAATACATTTCAATGAGTCACATGTTAGGGGCAGATTTATTTAGAAACACCCCCTCCACCATTTTGTTTCCATTTCAGTTTGAATCTGAGAGTGGGCTTCGTCCCCTAATTTTGCCGTTTTTTAATCACTAAACAACCTGTCCGACTCTTTTGTGACCCCATGGACTGCAGCCCACCAGGCTCCTCTGATCATGGAATTTCTTAGGCAAGAATACTGAAGTGGCTTGCCATTTCCTTGTCCAAGGAATCTTCCTGACCCAGGGCTCGAACCTGCATCTCCTGCATTGGCAGGTGGGTTCGTTACCAATGAGCCACCCGGGAAGCCCTTGCCTAATTGCTTAAAACCAAGAACAAAACAATCTTGGAGAAAAGCCACATCTTTCAGCTGCCCAAATACTGTGTTTGGCTGAAACCCCACTGGGTTTCTTGGTGTCCCTGACCCTGTGCAGAGAATGCTAGCATTTTCTTTACACTTCGTCTGCCACTGATGATGGGAAACCTCAGTCCCTGAAGAGAGAAGGGAGCTGATGGAGCAGAGGAGGGCACTGGCAATTTGAGTTCTATCCCTTTGTTCTTTGGGCCACATGTGCCCTCTGCAGAGGTTGGCAAAAGAAAGACTAGTTCTGGCAGAACAAAAAAGGCCCAGTTACAATGGGGACAAGTGAATTACTGAAGCCCAGAGAGGAGTTGTCCCTTGGGCATCCCTAAACTTAAGCCAACAGACCCAAATCCCAGCTTCAAAAACTCTCTTTTGAAACCCCTCTGCCCACAGCGTCTTCAGTCGTTCAACTGGGACCTCTCTGTCTCCTCCCGACCCCCAAGATCACATGCTGAATAAGGGTAGTGTCAACTGAAGCGACATGACAATTCAAGTGAGAGGCACAGAGACTCCAAGGAAGGAATTTGAGCTTGGCTCAGCTGCCGATCTCAGGACTGCATGGACCCATCTGTGGCAATGGGCCTTGGAAACAAGGTTGACCCTCATGCAGCACCATATGTTTCCAGCACTCCATCCTCAGATCGGTCCCCTCTTGTCAAGGCTGCTGTGTTACATGTCACCAGGGCCCTACCTGACCTGCTTTCCAGGCCTTGCCCTCCGCTCAGAACATCACTGTTTTCTCCATCGCCAGGCTTGCCGTCTCACCAGGGGTTGACTTCTCCAGGAAACTTTCCCGCACATAGACTGTCTGACCCACTCCTTGTACTTGGACTCAGAGCTAACCCTCAGTGAGTGTGTCAAGTGGTCAGACGAATGGCTGTGGTTTTCCTGTCTCTGATCTGAACCCCAATTTCTAAACCAGGGAAACGTTGCTCCCTTAATCACAGTAGACCATGCCTCCTCCGTGGAAGCTCTGGTGCAGGGTTCCAGTGAATGGTCAAGGTGATGAGATGCTTGAAGAAACAATTGCCCATGTGTGTGGCCTGATGTGTGCACATGTGTGGGGGAGTGAATGAAAGGGCCTAAAGGTGGAACCCATGTCTGGGGGACAGAGTGGATGAAGAGGGCCCACTCTAGTAACGTCTGTGCACCCCAAGTTATCACCACACAGTTGATCATGTCACCCCTTTTCTGCTTAGGGCGGAAGCTTCGATGTGGCAGATAGAATGTTCCACAGTGTGAAGAACGCATGGGAATCGGCCTCCAAAGAGAACATGAGTGATGTCAGAGAGCTGACCCCGGAGTTCTTCTACCTGCCTGAGTTCCTGACCAACTGCAATGCCCTGGAGTTCGGTGAGTGGAGCAAGGCTCCGGGGCCAGACAGCTTGTGGGTCATGACATCAGTACCTTTGCTAAGCGACCCCACACACAGGCCCACACCAGACCAGTCTTGTGGGCAGATTAGAGCGAGGCCTCCACTGGGTGGTGTCACTTGATGAAGAGGCAGGAGCCAAGGAAGTACCTAGCCCCAGGGTGCAGACCACCAACCACAGTTCTACTCAGGACCGCCCACCAACGGTCCCCAAGGCCCCAGTCTGCAGCAAGATGGCAGCTAGAGAGCAGGAGCCCCTGCTGACAGCCAGGCCTGGCACTGCCCTGCTGAATGCCTCAGGCAAGCCCGGCCCTTCTCTGCCCCATTTTCCCGCAAGTCCCACAAGTGGCTTAACCTGTGAGCAGGACCCAGACGTGCTGCAGCTCCCACGGGCACCTTGGTAGCTCCTTCTCTTTCCTACCCTCCAGACCCCACAGCAGGGTGAGCCATGCTTTCTCACCCACTGCTTTAGAGGAGAGACACAAATTTCAGGAAGCCCCAGTGGGCAGGCCCTAGCAACTACACGTACTTTGGGAGCCTCCACTATGAACCTCAGGGTGACTTGTGGAGGGGATGTGGTCAGAACCCCCTGAAGGGCATGGCCCTCCCCACCCATAGGTGAGGGGTGAATCACCCACTCTGAGGAGGCCCTTGTGAGCCAGCGCGGTGCACATGTGTGCTCCAGAGCCCCTCTTCCTCAGGGCCCTCCTTCCTCTAAACCACGCAGATGGGCCTGCACCTCAAGCCAGACCAGGGGCAGGCTCAGGAGAGCTGCCTCAGGCACTCACCTCCTGTGCGGTGGTCTGCAGACGGAACACCAGCGGGGCATTTAAAGCATCCCCAGGCCCAGCCCATCGACTCTGAGCTCATGGAACTTGGTGGCCTTGGCAATGTTCACATTCTCAGATGCTTCACTTGTTTTAGATGAGAACTTGACAAATATAAAGGGTAGTTCCCGCAAGTTGTGATGAAGCCATGAAAGGAGCAAGTCTGAACCAATGAAGCCAAGAGGAGGGTCCCAACTGGCCTGGGTTGAAGGGGGCACAGTGGGGAGGGCACCAATTCTCCTTGGCAGTGGAGGCTGGTTCTCTGCTGGAGGGGAGTGCTCAGCGGCAGATAGAGCCTTCAGGCCCAGGACCAGGGATCCTCAGGGAGGTCAGGAAAACAAGTGTGGCTATTATGCACCTACTGTATGCAGGCCCTTTTTAAGGCACTGAGGATTCAGTTGGGTGTCCTGGGGCGGGTCACCTGGAAGGTGTTAATATTCTTTGCAGGGATGGGGGAGGGATAGAAAAAAATAGATAAATAAGTGAAACACTGTTCAATGCTGAGGAAGTCCTGTAAGGAAAGAACACAGGAAAATGGTTCGAGGTGCCTCAGCGGCCATGTGTGACTGGGGTCTCCAGGAAGGACCCGCCTGAGGAGGTGACAGGTGTGAGCTGAGACTGAATGAGGAGAAAGGCCAAGCCAGCCCTGCAGGCCAGAGAGAGGGGAAAAGGATGCTTTCACCCCAGTTGCACTTGTGGGCCCTGGAGGGTTTCAGAAAGGCTATAGCTAGTATTTACTGAGCAGCCATCATACGCCTGGAACTATTCTAAGCATGTTATGTGTATTTTCTCTTCTGATCCTTATGCCAGCTTAGGAGGTAATAGGTAGGAAAGTGACTCCCCAAGAGGCTAAGCAACTTGCTCAAGGTTGTGTGACTAATGGGGAGGATGGAGACTCAGGCTTGAATCCAGGTTCCTCTTCTTGGTGTCTGGGGAAGCTCCCTCTGAAAACCTTCTGCCTTCACTCTAAAAGTGGAGAGAAAATGCATAAATTATCGAGTTGAATGAAGAGTCAATAAGATGATGTGTGCCAAGCACCTAGCACAGTGCCCTGGCATAGAGTGAGATGCTCGAAATACAATCACTTTTACTGTTACTGTTATTATCTTATTGTTTTAGCACTGTATAAAAAAGCACCTCCATGAAAAGGCATAGAGTGAGGGGAAGGAAATTTACCAGCAATGATGACACAGCCATTTTATGCACGGGCACTGCTTGGAAGCGAGGAGGGTCTTATGGAGGTCCAAGGCTTAGAATCCAAGAAGGAGTATTTCAGATGGATAGGGTGGGGTCACTTCCAACAGAGGAGACAGGAAGCAGTGCAGTCTATTTAGGAATCCCAGTACCGGTTAGCACAGTGTTTACACACCCCTGACTCCTAACCACTTTGGCTTCCCATTTACCCAAAGGCCTGCTGTCTCTCACCCTATTCAGGCTGCATGCAGGACGGAACAACACTGGGGGATGTTCAACTCCCTCCCTGGGCTGATGGAGACCCCCGGAAATTCATCAGCCTGCACAGACAAGTGAGTTGAGTGGGGTCATGGCAGAGTCCCTGGTATCCTGAATGAGGACCTCGGTATGCCCTCAATGTCCACAGAGGCTTTCTGTCTGAGTGGAAGGCTGTGATAAATACTTCTGCATATGTCTAGAGAACTCAGAGAAGGGACTGGGCCCCATGCCCTGGGTCGGCAAGAAAAAGCTTGGGTTCTGGGCTCTTTTAAGAGCTCCACTAGGCTTTGCCCTTGTGCCAGTTTGTTGTGGGACTCATGAGGGGAGCAAATTCAGATTCTTGTTAGATGGAGGGCAAGTCAGTGCCCTTAGCCAACCCCATAGTCAAGGCCAAGCCCTGGGCTGTATTGCCCAGTATAAATCAGAGAGGGGCTGGAGGCCTCAAAGGGTTCCCACTGGCCAAAATATTTGCCAGGACCAGGGAGGACTTGGCTTATGACTCAGAAAGACTGATGTGGGTACAGGCCACAGGTCATCTGGGGACAACATATGTTCAACATCATTAGTCATCAGGGAAACATACACGAAACCATGAGATGCTACTACGTAGTCACAACAATGGCTAAATTTTAAAATATTGCAAAATCCAAGAGTCAAGCAAAGATGTGGAGCAACAAGAATTCATCATGCATTGCTGGTGGGGAAAAATGGTACAACCACTTTGAACAAGAATTTCTTATAAAGTTGAAGATGCATTTACCATATCACTCAGCAATTCCACTTGTATGTATTTACCCAAGAGAGATGGAAACACCACAGAAGAGTTTGTACATAAATATTCATCAGTGTTACTTATACTAGTCAAAAACAAAAAACAACCCAGATACCTATAACCTTAAATGGCTAAGCGAATGATACACCCACATGATGAAATCTTACTTAGCAATAAAAAGGGACAGATAATGGATACATGAAGCAACATGAATGAATCTCAAAAGCATTGTCCTAAGCAAAAGAAGCCAAACCCAAAGATATATACTATGGGATTCTATTTTTGTGAGATGTTAGAAAAGGTAAACTAAAGGGACAGAAAGCAGATCAGATCAGGAATTACTAAGTTCTGAAGTAAGAGATAAACAAGAAGAAAACTTTTTGAGTTGATATGAATATTCTATATCTTGATTCTAGTGTTGATTATGTCACTGAATGCAATTTTCAGGACACATTAAGTTGCACATTTATGGAAAATTTTATTATATGTAAATTATATGTAAAAAAGAAAAAAAACCTGGGGGCAAGCCTAACTAGTAACAAAGCTGTGTCTTCTCCTCTGTCCTTCTCCTTTGGTAAGGAGAGAGTTCTTCCCTGGTTAATCCTTGTCCCTGGAAATTCAGTAACAGCAGTCATCACACCTCCTATGGCATTACCCACGTGTGGTCTTCTTAAAAGCATTATGGTCATATGTATCAGAAAACTAACCAAGCCCAGATGACCTGACTTTCCCAAGTCAGCATCAACAGGGAGCCCAGCCAATTCCAAATGACTGTCTTTGGGTTCTGGAAACCAAGCTTTGGATTTGGGCTCTACTCAGCAGAAACGAATGATGAACCAGAAATTGAAACACTGGCCCACATTTCCTCTTGCTTAAGGTTATTTTATGGACTGAATGGGCCACTAGCTTGAGGCAGGACTGCGTGGTCCTTAGAGGGACTGCACATCCTGCTTAGTGCTCATCCAGCCCAGGGAGGCATCGCTTATATTTCCTGTGCTGAGAGAGCATCCTGAACCACATGCCCCCTCCTGATCTGGGCAGAGAACCCACGAGTCCATGAGACCCCTGTGTTTTTCATGCTCTTTGGGTTTTGGTTCCAGGCTTTGGAAAGTGATTTTGTCAGTGCCAACCTGCACCACTGGATAGACCTCATTTTTGGGTACAAGCAGCAGGGGTCAGCCGCAGTGGAGGCTGTTAATACCTTCCATCCCTACTTCTATGGTGACAAAATGGACCTCAGCAGCATCAGCGACCCCCTCATCAGAAGTACCATCCTGGGGTTCGTCAGCAACTTTGGACAGGTGCCCAAACAGGTACAACATACCATGATTTTTGTCTTACTTTCTCAAAAGAGTGTGTGCAGGGTGAGCTTGGATGGAAGAGAGAGTGAGAAGTAGGTGAGGATTGGAGAGATAAAATGGCCTGCAGTCACCTCCCTATGCCTTTAATTGCTGTTGTCATACAGTCAGTCAGTTGTGTCCAACTCTTTGCAAGCCCGTGGACTACAGCACGCCAGGCTTCCCTGTCCTCCACTATCTCCAGGAATTTGCTTAAGTTCATGTCCATTGAGTCCATGATGCTATCTAACCATCTCATCCTCTGCCACCCTCTTCTGGGACTTTAATATCAAGGTTTAACTCTCCATAACACACTGATGTCAAGGGAGGTGATGATATCATTAACAATGATGAAGGCTGCATCCATCTGTGACCCATGTGATAGACACTATGATAAATACAAAGTATTTAATTCTTTATATAGGTTTGTTGTGAAGATTAACCAAGTGTGTGAAAGTGTCTGAAATATGATTAACATTCAAAAAATGTTATTCATGTGATTCCCTCATTAAATCCTCTCTTAAGTTCTGAGTATGGGGATTATACAGATCAGGAAACTGAGGCTCAGAGAGGCTAAATAAATAACTTGCCTACACTTGCACCATTGCAGGTGTCACCAGTGAGACCTTACCCCATCTGGCCGGCTCCAAAATCTACACCATATTGGCCCCACTGTGAGAGCATCCAAGCTCTGCCCTTAGGGTCCCTGGGCCTTTTGCTCCACCAGCTCTATCTGCATCAGGGCAGTCCCATAGAGATGTGAGACTGTGCATTCACAATGACATCTTGAGGCCTATTTAGCTGATCCCAGCCCCATTCATGGAGAAGGCAATGGCAACCCACTCCAGTGTCCTTGCCTGGAGAATCCCAGGGATGGGGGAGCCCGGTGGGCTGCCGTCTTTGGGGTCGCACAGAGTCAGACACGACTGAAGCGACTTAGCAGCAGCAGCAGCAGCAGCAGCAGCCCCATTCATTTTCAAGCTTCCATTTGGTGTAGAGATGTTTTTCCCCCAAGCACAATCATTTGGAGGGAGAAGCATGGCCCCACAGACTAAGCAGTCAGGAACCACACCAGAAAATAAATACATAGGCCCAGCCAACTCGAGACCATCCTGGGCAACAAGCTTCCCCATCTGTAACCATGAGGCTTGGATGGGCTCATCTAATAACATCTCTTCTGTCTGGCTTTATTGTGACTTGTTCAGGTTCACTCAGCTCCTAGGTAAGGGGAATGTGGAAAGGCCTGAGGGTGACTTGGAGAATGGACTGTATATGCAATTGTGGGTTTGGCCAAGGAAGGCTTTGTAGAAACGAGAGAATTTCAGGAAAAAAAGCTAGAGTAGCTAAACAGTTTCATTTCTTTAATTTTAAAAATATTATACTAGAAATAAATAAATTGAAGTAGTAGTCCACAGGCAAAAATATGTTCATATCAGTAGGCTCATGGAATGTACACTCTTTAAATTCTGATTTTAAGTAAGGAGATATTATATTCCATAATGTCTTATGGAAAAACTCGAACAATCTTTTTGACCAACCCAATATGAGCTTCTAAAAAATATTTCTAAAATAATCATCAAAATTAGAATTCCCCAGGTGGTCCCAGCTTGAAGACAAGATTAAATGCTTTGGAACCATTCACTGTTCCAGCAAGGGGCTGTGCCTGAGAAAGCAGTTACAAGGGTCCAGCCTGTGGTGCTTTCGTTAGTCTAATGTGCATGAAGAACATTCTTTAATGCTCATTTAAAAGTCATCATTCTGATTTCTGTTTGTATTGATCACCCACTCGACTTTTCTAGATAGTCTAGCATCTGGTCAAGGGGTGTAACCAAGCCTCCTCTGAGGTCCCGGGGCTGCCTGCTGAGCTCCACCTCTGTCCTTGAGCGCAGCCAAGGCCAGTCCCACCCCCTGTCATGGCGCCCAGGGATATTTCCATCTGGAAGCAGAACACTGTGCTGCTGGCTAAAGAAACCAGCCTAGCACGAGCCCAGTCGGGGAGGGAAGGTGGAGAGCTGGAGCAGGCCTCAACTGTGTTCTCTAGCCCAGCACCAAGGATTCTGCCAGGCAGCCTGGCCTTGCACTTCAGACTGTGTCCAATTATGCAAAAAGTTTGGCATTAAGGACAATTTGAGAGATCTAAGAAAAATGAAAATAAGAAAGGCCGCTAATGGGGTTTGCCTGTATTCTTTAGAATACTTGAATGGTTGCTATTAAAGAATTCTGTGTTGATGCCCAGATGGATGGGCCTGCAGAGAATTTATAAAGAAAGAGAGAAAATATGAGAAATAGCTCAAGCAAAAGAAGAGAGACGTGATCTAGGGAGGAAAAAGGGTCATTCTGACCCTTTAGCATGAAAGGTAGCTCTCCCAGGGACCAGAGACTCCTCAGGGGGCTCATCATTTGCTCAAGCAGCTTGGAGAAGAAGACAGATTTGGCTTCCAAGAGAGTTCTCTGCCAGCCCCGCACCATGGCCTTGAGAAAGTAGCTGCCCCTGACTGAGCCCCAGGCCACTCCCCTGCAGCGTCCAAAGGTTGAACCAGATGATTCTGTTTCAGCTCACCTCGGTCAGGAGCAAGCTCAGCCCCAGCAGCACCCAGGGCAGAGGTACAGCTGGGATTTGCCCAAGGAAAACTCCCCTTCTGTCCATCTGTCCTAACAACCGACATGGTGCGTGTCTGTCTGCTTGCCTCTGCAGCTTTTTACTAAACCCCATCCAGCCAGGACTGCTGCAGGGAAGCCTTCCCCTGGGAAGGACGTCTCCACACCTGCCAGCCTGCCTGGGCACCCACAGCCCTTTTTCTACAGCCTGCAGTCGCTGAGGCCCTCCCAGGTCACAGTCAAAGGTGAGCACCTGGTCCTGCTTTGTGTGGTGTCCTGTCCCACAGTTGTCCCTCCAGTGACCGGTGTTCCTCTGGAGGTTCGGGGGTGCAGGCTGGGGCAAAGGTTTGGGGTTTGACTGCCCAACTGTCTTTCCAGTCATATCAGGAGTCTGGGGAGGCCTCTGCTCTGGAAGTGTCTGGGGCCACCTGTGTTATACCCTGACTTCTGAAGACCCATCTGTCTGTTGAGACAAACACTCCTCTCTCTTTCATGTGCACACACATCTATCAATACACACACACACACACACACACACACAGACCCCTCCTCACCTCCAGAAAAGTGAAAGTAAGAAAGGCTGCTAAAGGGGTTTGCTCTTTGGAATACTCAAATGGCTGCTATTAAAGAATTCTGTGTTGATGCCCAGATGGATGGGTCTGCAGAGAATTTATAAAGAAAAAGGGAAACTATTAGAAGAAATAGCTCAGTATTGCAGCCCCCTCTCGGGTCCCGGTCGCTGTTGTTCCTGACCACCCAGGTGGTCCTGCAGCCACTAGCTAAGGGCATGCGCATGAGGCAGATGCCCCCAGTGCAGGTCCCAGCCCTGCTTCCTAGAGGGACTGGGTGTATATGAAGTCCACCCTGGGGCCTCAGTGCTTTGGGGATGTCTACCTGGAACAGCTTTCTGGTCCCAAGGAGTATAAGGTCAGGTTTGTCAGGGTTTCTTCTCTTGAATCCAAGAACAGCGTCCTTGGCACCTCCAGCCCTGCTAGACTTGATGCCTGGAAGGTGCAGGAAGGACAGAGCCCCTGCCCCCTGGCTCCTCTGGCTTTGTGCCATGTGCCCTGACAGCCTCGGTTCCTCTTCCCTTGGTATCAACCCATAAGAGACACTAAAGACCTGCATGGCCACACACTTCATGTATGTGTTAAGTCTGGGGAGAGACCCAGGGCCTGAGGACCCAGCTCGGGGCCAGAGTGTAACATGGCCCTTAGAGGGAGGCCCAGGAGGGAGGTACCAGGACAAGGAGTGGCTCCTGCCTGGGTGGGTGTTTGCCAAGTCCTGGTGGGCTGTGCATGGCTCATCTCTGGGCCCAGCTAAAGAGGTGTTGTCCTTTGACAAATAAATTCCTCCCTACTGACTGGGGAGCAGATATGTACCTCTTCTCTCTAGGCTCGGAATCCCCCAAAGGAGCCATCGGCCACATCGTTCCTACGGAGAAGACCATCCTGGCCGTGGAGACAAACAAGATGCTGCTGCCTCCACACTGGAGCAGGACCTTCAGCTGGGGCTTTGATGACTTCAGCTGCTGCCTGGGCAACTACGGCTCTGACAAGGCGAGTGTTGCCGGGGTGCAGGGTGGCCCCAGGGCCTCAGCCTCCTACTGGTTGGGGCAGAGGTGGTCAGGAGACTGGCGAGCCCAAAGCAGCCACAGCTGCCCACACCCCCACTTCCTCCACGTGCCTGTGCCCCCAGCCTGGGGATGAGAGGATTTGAGCGACCGTGCCAAGAGCCTGGTGGGCTAAGCCTTCCCCCATGTTACCAGGAGTCGAGCTTGTAAATAGGCATGCTGTCACCTCTGCAGTGTTCTCCACTGCTGGCTGGTCACTTGGCTGCATTGAGAAGGCCCAGATTGTCATTCAGTTTGGGTGGAAAGTCTTAGGGGCTCCTCTGGCCCCTGCTCTGACTTAGACTCAGATGGCACAAATTGAACATTCTACAGGCCACCAGAAGCAAGCCACTGGGTTACTGGTCCTCCACGCCTGTGCGAGGCCATCCACTCCTCTCTACCTTCTTGATGTGGCCTCTGGCTCTGTTTTCTAACCTTGCTCCTCTCCCACCCTAGCACATGGCATGAATTCCCTGCTCACCAAGCTTTCTCTCCCCTCCCTAGCCTTCCCCCACCTCCTGCAGGAGGCAGCCAGCGAAACTGGTCCCAGATGTCCCCACTTCCTGAAAGTGTGCTCTGCCTTTCCCAAGCTCACAGGGCATTTCTGCTGTGTCCCCAAACCCTCCTGCTTACTTGCCTTTTCCCACCTGTTCCTTGGGTGTAGGTGCTTTCTGGAGACATACGTGGGCAGCCTGTCCCCAAGGCTTTCCTTGAACAAATGACCTGTCCCTCGGTTCCCATGGCACACAAGCAGGCCAGTGGAAGCAGGCAGATCTGCCTGCATGCCCCTGTCGCCCTGTTCCAGCTCCCTGCTCATGTGGGCCCTGTCGCCAGTGTTCATCTCCCTTGCCTCCCCTCCCACAGATCTTGGTGACATTCGAGAACCTGGCCGCCTGGGGCCGCTGTCTGTGTGCCGTGTGCCCGTCCCCCACGACCATCATCACCTCCGGGACCAGCGCAGTGGTGTGTGTTTGGGAGCTCAGCATGACCAAAGGCCGGGCCACAGGCCTGCGCCTCAAGCAGGTACAGAGCCTCCACGGGGGTGTTGGCTCAGGGCAGGTGGAGTCCCTCTGGCAGGCACAGTGCCTTTGCATGCTCCAGCTCCCAAGCGCTGAGAGCTCTGCCTCTCTCGGGAGCTGATAGCACAGTGGAGCATTGAGGGCACATGGGTCCCTGTCATTCAAGGGTGCAGTTTCATGTCTTTGGGTGGACTTGACAAGCACACAGTCCATGGTGCTTCCACGGACACCTGCACCTCAGTGAGAGACGCTGCTTACACATCAGGGCCGGTGAAATTGGGAGCTTTTTGCACTAGGAGACATTTTTTCGCATTTTTCACAGGCACTTTTATGTGAATAGCCTCATTTTACCTCTTCATTTTACCCTGTCATAGGAATCATTATCATCCCCACTTCACTGGGGAAAAATCAAATCAAAGAAGTTAAGTGCCTTGTCCAAGAGCATAGACTCAGAAAATAAAAGACTGTCTCAGAATAGGGGTGATTGTGGCAGACACAGAAGGAAGAGACCAGGAGGCAGAAAACTCGTCTGGTCTTACCTCGCAAACCACAGCTGCTTGGAATAATAAACAGACTGAAACTGACTGCTTGCCTAAGGTTCTGCATGTTAACTGTAATCTCGGAAAGCAGGTACTCTTAGTCCCACTTTCAGATGAGAAACGTGAGGCTCAGAAAGGTCAGATTTGAATTTAAATCTAACTCTAAGCCTTGTGTTTTCCCCTGCATACATTTGAAGTTGCTGGAGAATATTTCTAGGAGACACTTCCATCTCCAAATGCAATTCATGTTTCCATCTCTGTTTTAGTGATCCATACAGCCCCAAAATGACAAAAAAAGAAAAAAGTTAACCATACAAGGCTTGCCACTGACTAAATTTCCCAAACTGGACATGTTACACTCAAATTGATGCTGGGTTTCTCTGGATGCTTTCCTAGTCAATGGAGTCTCCCCAGAGCCTGCCCTTATTCCCTGGCACCACCCCCAGCATATGCCTGGTACACAGCAGTGGACATTCAACAAACATGAGGTGAGGGTCAGGGCTGAGGGAGCTGGTTAATCCTGCAGAGGCCGTGGCACCTACGAGAGGCAGCTGTGCAGGTCAATTATGGCCTGCCTTCCCCCAGACTCTCCAGGGAAGTCCTCCCATGCCAGGCTTAGAGCCCTCTGTCTTTCCGCATCTTCACTTTCCTGATCTGTGTGGAGAGACTGTGCAGCCATTATGGGTGTGGAGAATCCGCCTCTCCCAGGCATTGCTCCAGGGATGAGGGGATCCACCCCAATCCCAAAGACACCTTGGGGAGCCAGGGAAGTGACCCCCCCCTCCATTTCCCTTCCAAGGTTCTGGTTAGTGGTGAAGATGCAGTGTAAAAACCCCAGTATCGACAGCATAAAATGTAATTTATCATCCTCTCCTAGCTATAAATCAAGACAAAAAGGTAGGGGAATCCTACATGCTCTTATTTCCTAAGTGAAATAAAGTACTTTATCATTTATCTAAAGAGGCTGACACAGCCTTGGGGGTTCCCCAGACTGAAAGCTACTCAGAGAAAGGGGTCCCTCCCTGACTTACAGACTTGTAGACAGAGACGTCATCATTAAATAGCTTCATTAACAGTTTTTTCAAGTGTTTTATTTCTAAATATTACAACATGAAAGATATATTTCAAAGTCAGATGATTATCTATAATCCATATAAAAAATTTCATCCTTGCGTGCTCTGATCCCTAGATATACATATTTATATCCTTCTGATCATTGTGTAGATATATGGATTCCATTTTCACCCAGCCTATCAAATTGTTTCCTCTTTTCTACAGGTTCTATAATTTGCTTTTCAATTGTTCCATATTATTCCATCTCCATAAAATTATATTTCAGTTGTTTTATGTCAATGTACCACAGTTTAATAAACCATTTTTTCTAAAACTAGACAATTACATTGCTTCCACTTTTAACTATTTTAAATAGTGCTGCATAAGACATCTTAGATTGCTGTTGGCTTCTGTTTAATCATTTCCTTATAGCAAATTTCAAGAAGCCAAATTACAGAACAGTGACATAATGCTTTCTATAATGGCTCTGTGGTTTTACAGTGCCACCACAATCAGGAGTGCCCATTTCACCACGACATATCCAGAACAGGGAATTATTTTCAGAGGTTTGTATTTTTTTATTTTTTGCTCCTTTAGTTAGGTATAAAGTGATACAGTGGAGCTATTTCAGTTGGCCGTGATGAGAGGTATTATTCTGAGAACAGAAGAGCCAATGGAGAACATTTAAAACTGCTGTCCTCCTTCATTTTTTCCCAGGCCTTTCCAAATAGGGAGCGGTGCTGACTGCCTCCAGGTGCTTTAGTGTCCAGGCTGGTGAGAAGCTTACAGAGGTGGGCGGTGCCCACGCACACAGTGGTCCCTCCCTCTCCAGCGCTTCCCCCAACGCTTTCCCCAAGAAAGCAGAGGCCCCGCTCCAGTAACAGACAGCTCACACAGGCACTGGACTCACAGCCGATGTCTCTGCATCCCCAGTCCTCACACCTGGGTCCCCAGCCTGCACGCTCTGGAGTTGTCCTGTCCCTGGCAGTCAGAACTTAGCCATTAGACAGAGGTCATCCTGGGAAGACTACCAGAAAGTGCCTGTCAAGGCCTCTGCTTTCCTCTCTTCTTTTAGACAGTTTTCACTTCCCTAAGTAGCCCCTAAAGTGACCCCAGCCTTCTTCCATGGGTCACATCCATCAGGTTGGTGCCATGTTAGGATCCATGGAGCACAAATGGGAATCTGCAGCTGAACTTTTAATTATTGTGACCTTGCCAAGTGACAACTTAGAAAAATGGTGCTCAACCTCATTGACTCAAATGAGTGAGTGGTGGACAGTCCTGAGGGTGGAGGTTTACCACTAGATGCGGGGAGTAGTCAGGTTTCAGAGAACCACCTCTGCACTTCTCAGGCTGATTTCAGAGGACAGCAGGCACATGTGTGCATGCCAGCTCTCATACCAGGCTTACCTGGAAGCTGCTGGGACAGTTGTAATGGAAACCACACTGCTGCCAGCAGCAGCAGGCCAGGGATCCCAGTGTGCCTGGGAGGCATCCCTAGTCCCCCAGTCTCCCAGGAATATGTCCATGGGGAGCAAGGCCTCTGGCCAGGTCGGGACACATAACCATCCATCAGCCAAGCCAGACCTTCCTAGGCCAACCTGAAAGTCAAGACTGAGGCCCCGAGAGTCAAGACTGGGCAGCCAGACTGGACATGAACGTGGATTCTTTGGACTTGAAAAGTCAAATCCTTTATTACCTGACCTCTCTGCCTTCTTCCCAGTTTAGTTTCCAGGGGCACATGTGTTTCTGATGTTCCCTTAGTGTGATGCTCACATTTGAGCATGCGTGAAATTCTCCGGACAGCTTGTGAAAACCCAGATTTTGGGGCCCCACTCCCAGAGTTTCTGAATCAGTAGACCTGGGAGGGGCCCAAGAATGTACGTTTCTGACAAGTTCCCAGATGATGCTTGTGCCACCGGTTGGGATACCACACATGACAAACCAGCACCCTTGCATCTTAATAGTGGTGTGCACTGCTTCAGACTGCAAGATAACATGGGAGTGCAGAGAGCATGAGGATGTTACTGGGGTCTCCGCTTGAGTATAATAAAAAGGACTACTGACTCTCCCCATCTGGATTTCAACCCTGGAAAGGGATGGTTCTGAGAAGCCAGCCACAGACCCGTGAATACACATGCACACACGTGCGCACACACACACACACCCCTGACACACGTTGGAGACACTGGATCACTCTGAATCTCTGCTCTCTCATCTGGGGCCCAACAGTAAAAGGGGAGAGTGGAGTATCTCCTGGAGTAACTGGATTAAGGGCCCCTCTCATAACCTGCACTCTCATCCCTTGTCCCCAGGCCTTGTACGGACACACGCAGGCTGTCACATGCCTGGCGGCATCAGTCACCTTCAACCTCCTGGTGAGTGGCTCGCAAGACTGCACATGCATCCTGTGGGACCTGGACCACCTCACCCATGTCGCCCGCCTGCCTGCCCACAGGGAGGGCGTATCTGCTGTTGCTATCAGTGACGTCTCGGTGAGGCTCTTCTTTCTCAATGTCTGTGTCCTCAACATGTCTAATGATTCTTCATGGTGACATGGTGGACAGTCCCCTGAGAAAAAACCCGGGCGCAAAGACCACCCCAGAGTGTATGGAGGCCCCAAATATTGTGGGACATTCTCTACACAGGCAGAGTGGTACCATCAACAATCTCAATTTTGGTCTCGATTTTATTTTTTGCTTCTTTATTTTTTTCCCCTCAAGGAGGTGGGCTGGTGGGAGGTGTCTGTTCTGACATGAGCATCGGGGAGTTGGGGAAGGAAGTTGACTTTGGTGAGGGATCTTCTGGGTTTGATTGACTGATCCAGCCAGTTGACTGCAAATCAGTGTGAGCTTGGCAAGCACCTCTGGTCTCCAAGTCAGGAAACACCTCTGCTTGTCCCTCCATGCTGGCTACCAAATATAAACCTGTCAGGAAGCACACCATGCGTGTGTGTATGTGTTTGCGTATGAGAGATAGAATAATATATATACTGTGTATATACATACATGCATGTATGTATACCAGTGTGGAGCTTTCCACTGGAATCCCCATCATAGGATATGGGTTTTCTGAGGCTCTGCATCTGCTGATAGAAAACTTGAGGGGCCTGGAGCATGCATAGACTGAGCAGTTGTATCATAGGAGGAGAAAGAGGTCATGGATGGAGGAGACTTCTGGTGCTAACTGTGGCTGAAAGTGGTGCTCCAAATGGGCTTCAATCCAGGAAGAATATTAGATGGGCAAAAAGAGGATGGATGGATAGGTGGTTGGGCAGATGGAGGGATGAATGTGTGGATAGATGGAGGGTGGGTAGGTAGATGGATGGATGTTGGCTGAATGGATGAACGGGTGGATGTAATAGGGAAAGCGCCATGTTCTGATATGGAAGAAAATAAATTCATAAGGAATTATGTCCCCAGCCCTTAAAGAAGACTGATATCAGGGCAACAACTTGTCTGACCCACCATGTCCTGGAGCTGACTGAGTTCATGAAGTGCTGGCTGGGTGCTGAGCAGAGATGTATCAGACAGGGTCCCTGGCCTCAAGCAGACTCCACCAAGTGATTCAGGAAGGGACGTGATGGAGCTCAGCCCGGGGCACTGAAGAAGGGCCTGGAGCTCCCGACCTCCCTTCTGTGGTCAGGGCAAGGCTCAAAGGCTTAGCCCCAGATGGCTCTTGGGGTCCTTGGTGGGTCCTTGGTGACAGTGACCACAACTGTACTGGACACGAAATAGACAAGGAGTTAGGGAATGAACACTCCAGACATACACATTTCAGGAGATGCAATGGGCAAATTTCTCCTCAGAAATCCCCCCCAAGGGGACCTTGCCCTATTTTATGAACTACATGCAGTCATTCAAGTCCCTGTTCCCTGCCCTCCACCAGGGGTCATCCAAAGCTGCTTCACAGGGACAGGGCTGGCCAGCCAGGTGTAGACCCCATGTCTGGGCCTGGGATGGTACCCTGGCTAGGTCTTTTATGCCAGTCAGTATGGTGCCAGGGAGAGTGCTGTGGGAGGAGTTCAAAAGGTGAGCCAGTCAGCTTGTGCTGGGGACAGCAGTATCCAAATGCCTGATTTCAGTGTGAAAAGAACCAGGAATGCACCATTGTGTGAAAACACAGCAGGCCTGTGAGTCACCTGGGAAGAAGTGGGAGGAGGTCTGGGAGTGCCTTGGTTAGTCTTCAGAGGATGGCAGGTGGAGGGTGCTTGGGTGGGCAAACTGACTGAGTGGACAGATGGACAGGCAGTGATCCCAACCTGAAGTGAAGCCCACTCTCACTGCTGCAGGGCACCATCGTCTCCTGTGCGGGAGCCCACTTGTCCCTGTGGGATGTCAACGGACAACCACTGGCCAGCATTACCACGGCCTGGGGCCCAGAAGGAGCCATAACCTGCTGCTACGTGGTGGAGGGGCCAGCGTGGGACACAAGCCATGTCATCATCACTGGAAGTCAGGATGGCATGGTCCGGGTAGGTGTGCCTTGGGTGGAAGGAGGGCATGCTACTAGAAATGTGTTCATCTCCATTCTGTCCACTTCCTCTAAGACTCAAATCTGCAGACCGCATTTAAACATTCCAGACCAGGTCCCCGCAGCATGTGAGGGCAAAGGCAAGGGTTCTTTTTATATTAATAATACATAAAATTTTATACACGCATATACTTCAACAATTAAAAAATACTTATTGTCACAAGTTATGAAAGCTGAATGGTCAAATGCATCAGAACATAATTCAGTACTGACAAGAGACATATGGGCCATCCTTTCATCCATTCATCCACTGGTCTATTCATCCGTCCATTAATCCATCTACCCATCCAGTTATTTATCTCTCTATCTACTTCTATCCATTTACTATTCCATTCATCCATCCACCCTTTCATTATTGCATTCATCCTTCCATCTACTCATTAGCCCACTTATTTGTCCCTCCAGCTATCCATCCACCTAACATTCATTGAACTCTGGCTGTGTACCAAGCACCTCATATATAAGGGATCCAAAGATTAATGATAAACAGGTCCTTGTCCTCAAGGTGTCATATTCTAGAAAAAAAAGACAAACAGAAAATGTACATATGTGTTTCATGCTATGACTGGGACAATCAGAGTGCCATGTATGCTCTGAGGAAGGCCCTGGAAAGAGAAACCATCAAGAAACCAGGAAGACAATAAAGGAGAAACACTGAGGAGGGAGGAATAGTGTGGGAAGAGCAAAACACAGGTGATTTTTCTGAGACTGCCAGCAAGGAGGGAGGAATGAATAAGATGAGCAATAGTTAAGAGCTTTACTCAAGAAACTGTCATTTGAATTCCACAATTTTTGAAGGGGCGTGTCAGTTGCATGCCTTGAGGTATTCAAGAAAACACTCTTTGAATTCTACACACATTTGTGAAAGCTCCCTGTGGGCCACCCAGCATGGCTGAAACGCAGCCGTATCCTCCAGGAGCCTCCATTCCCAAAGTCTGAGAATCATCACAGAGGTGATGCTTCCGGAAGCAGAATGAATAACAGGGTGGGGGCCAAGTGGAGAGTGGATTTACTTCCAGCAGAGGAGGTGGCATTTCAGCCAAGCCCCGAGGATGAGGAGAAGTCAGGGCGTACAGAGGAGGCCATGCAGGCTGAGGGGTCAGGGTGCGTGGACAGGAGAGACGACGCTGAGGAGCGCCCTCTGGGAAGCCCCCTTGCAGGGCCTCATCTGTGGGCTAGAGGAGCACAGGGTCTCTGCAGAGGGAAGGGTGTCCTGGGCTGGCTAAAACACGAGGAGATCATGAGGGTCGGGGCCGGGTGGGTTGTGGTCTGTCCTGTGGGTCAGTCAGAGGAGCCCGGGGTGGCTGGGGGCAGCTGCATTTCCTTCATGGGCCCCCAGAGCAGGAGCGTGAGTCTGCCAGGCGCTCTGCCCTTGTCCACTCAGCGCACTCACTGAGCTCCCGGGACGGCCCAGCGCTGGGCTAGACCCGGTGCGGCGCTCTCAGAAGCCCGCAAGTGGAGGCTGCTCATTGTCCTGCGGGGAAAGAAAGTTCAGGCTGAGCAAGTGAGATGCCATGTGTGGTCAGCCTGAGGGCACTCACCACAGACCTGGCACCATACATAGAGGACGGGAAGCCGTGCTGATTAGTGGTAAGGGAGGCCTCTGGGAATGGTGGCAGACAGACAAGTGGGCACTAGCTAAGTAAAATGATAATGAGCTGACTGCTGACTCTCGTCCCTGCAGATAAGGGGTTGAGAAAGGTGCCCTGCGACCCAGGGGTGGGGAGGGAACTCATTCCGTCTACATCCCGTCTACGGCAGCCAAACTTCCCCGCAGGGAAACTGAAGCTTAAAATGGCTTTTATCCTGAGAGTATGTCAACATCAGAAGTGAAAGAGGGCCATGTCCCGCTTCCTTCAGGGTCCCCCAGGTGTGGCGGAAAGGACGGGCCCGAGCCTGCAGACAGGTTCGTTGCCCCAGCCCATGGCATGTTCTCTGTTCTGGACAGATCTGGAAGACTGAAGATGTGAAGACGTCTGTTCCCGGGCAGGCAGCGCCAGAGGAGCCCTGGGCTCCATCATCTCCAAGCCCCAGAGGTAACTGCTATGCTCCTGGTTCCCGGGAGCACCCTTGCCTCGCTCAGCCCTCCCTCCCGTCTCCTCTTGAGGGCTGCAGCTCCAGCCAGACCTGCAGAGACCAGGGAAGACAGTGAATTTCTTAGGGTATTGACAGATCTCAGGTCAGGAGCACAGTTTTCTGTGAGCTGCTGGTGGAGTATGAATCCATGTTTAGAAGCCCCACTGAGGCCCAGCCTCACCCTTCAGGGACCGGCTGGCTCTGGGAGGCTCCTCGGGCATGTGAACGGTGCCGGTGGTGGTTGTCAGGGGTTCCCGAGCTCCAGGAGGGGCCACACCCAGCCGAGCTTGGCTTGATGCTACCCATCTTCCTGGGTGACTCTTAAATGCCAAACTCCCCAGCCCAGGACCTGGGTCCATCCAACTAGCCACTGGCCTGAACTGTCAGGCTGCAGACAGGAGCAGGGATGGCTTTGCTGCATCCCTGGGGAGAGGAGGTGGTTCCATCGGCCCCATTCTGCCCTGTTGTCCCTGACTCAACATCCCCTACTCTCCACGGCAAGTTCCTCAAAGTAGGTCTGAGGGTGGTCTGCACCAGCATGGCCCAGTAGGCTCATGAAACATTTATAGGTGGGTCCTAACCTCAAGGAAAAGATTGGAGAAGGATAGAGTTCCCATATCTAACAAGTCCCCAGGTAACTGCTGGTATCAGCAGAGTAAAAGAACCGCCACTCTGCAGCAGAGCCCTCTTTGGGGGGTAGCCTTTGGGCCTGGAGTAAGATGATCTGTTCTCACTTCTGTCACTATGGCCTCTGGCATCAGCACCACCAGGGCCACCGTCACAGAGCCGTGAGGGACAGAGCCGACCGGGAGCAGTTTCCACCATCCACTCCTCCCGCGTGTTCTCTTATTTCTCACGGCAACCCCATGAGGAAGATACTGCGGTGATACCTGGGTGAGAAGAGAACTGAGGCACGGAGCAGTTCAGCAACCTGCCTGAAGTGACCCGAAGCCATTGCTACTATAGTTCTCATTTCTGCCCCCAGAGTAGACACGCCCACTGCCAGAGCAAACTCCTTGGCCAGGGCCAGACCATCCAGGATGAGCGCAAACACAAAAAACACAAACCTCACTCCTGGGGGTCCTGCATGGCCTCACTCTTGTCATCATGGGTTCTTCTGGTTCGTTCTGCATCCCGGGACCCATGATCAACCCCTAGAGAGAATGTTCCAGATTGTGGAGGCTTGTCTTCTACAGGGAGTAGCCATTTTTAGTTCATTTTTGATATGTGCTCCACACTTCCTTGATTCATTTAGTCACTGATGGACATTGGCTGAGCCCCTGCTAGGTCCTAGAATCTACACGGGAATCCCTTCCTTCCACATAATGCCATCAGATGATGCCCTTGTCAACAATCTAGACTGACCTAGAATGGTGACCTTACAAAAATCTACAGCCACTGGGGATTCAGTTCACTGGTCCTAAGATCTCTAGGGTCCTTTGGGACCACAATGAATCAGCCCATCACAGTATAAAAAGAGTCCTGTGCATTCTTAGGAGCTAACAGTTCTTCTTTGGAGGACAGGGGACAAAGTCTCTCCCCTGCCCCCACCCACTTGGAGGAGAGCTAGAACAGAGTTCTTATTCTCCCCCTGCTCATGAAGTGTTCTGTGGCACACCAGTGTGAGAGCACGCAACCTCGGTCTTGGACTCAGCTGACCACTTCTGAAGCTACTGAGCTCTGATAAGCTAAAAGCATTTGTTCAGCCCATGGTTGATAAGTGGGTGTCCGAGCCAGAATGTTAGCTGAATGGGTAGGTAGATGGATGAAGGGACAGATGGACAAAGGGCATCTCAGAGCCATTCCATTGGTTCTGGGAGTGCCAGTGGATTTTCGGTTTCTACTCAGGATCGACAAGGTTGTGCTCATTGGGAAGGGGGCCTAGTGAGATGAGAAGCAAGATGAAAATCAGGAAACAAAGTTCTAGACCCAGCTCTGTCTTCTGCAACCCCTTCGGTCCTCAGTTTCCCCCTCTGTCAATAGAGGTGCTTCCTGTACCTCCTAACTTGTAGGAAGCAGACGACAAAAAAGTAATACCATAGACAAAGATCTCCTCGACAAAACGTGGGTCATGATTATCATTTTCTCGGATTACTAGGAGACTTCTCCCCTAACACACCGGCCGGTTACACGAGGGGACTTACCTGATGGTGTCAGGCAGACAGGAGCCTCACACCCATTTCCTTCCTCTGCTATTTGTCCTAACCAGCCTGAAGTCACCACTGCCAAGTAGAATTAATTGCTCTGCTTGTGGTTACAGTTCAAAGGAGGATTTGGATAAAATGACACAAGGGCACAGACATAGTCATAAAAATCAGGCGAGGCCGCTGCTTAGAGTTAGCAAATCCATGTGCAGGTTTACAAACCTAAGCCACTGGAGGGCTCACTGCCCTCATAATATTGCTTATAACTGTTTTGTTGGAAGGGGACTAGTCCTCGGCCTGACACACAGATATTTATGCCTGTCTCTTGGTATGTATATTATTGCATTCCTTGAATACATTGAGAGGCAAGAAAAGAGTTTTTTGAGGGTACTGAGAATATGAGGGTTGCTGCATTTGTGTGCAGATGTCATCTAATTTCTGCCTGGAATTCATTTATTTGTCATTTGCAGCCAAGACCAACCCAGTGGAGTCCAATTTACTTTAGGAATCACTCGGTAGATTTGGGCTCAATCCAGTACACAAAAAGTCCTTGGGAAAAGCTTGGTTTGGGAACTTATGCACAAACACAAAACACATGTGCATTTCCTGGGGCACAGAGCTGTCTGTCACCCTGGGTCAGCTGGGACAGCTGCGTCGCTACTGCCCTGACTGCAACCAAGTGACCTCGTAGTGGTGGACCCAACTGATGTCTCTCCACCTCACCCTCCACAAAGGAGTCACCGTCTGTCCCCATATACAGTCATTAAAATGAGTGAAGTAGCAATCACTGAGTTCTATTTTTTGAAAACAAACATTCTCAGCATTTAATTATTGGTCATGGCATGAGCGGATTTAGGTAAGTTGATAATGCCGACTTTATGTAATTTATTTTTACTAGGCAATTACAGGCTGTGTTACATCCTGGCAGCAAGGTATTGTGGGGTATCTTATTAAGCATAAAGCCAGTAAACACTGATGAACAATTTTGCTGAACTAGGCATGCAATTTAGAAAGCAATAATACACAAATCCAATTTGGTACACAATGGATACCGCAGCACGTCAGCACATGTAACTATCACAGCCTGCAAATTAAATTGGGACGGCCCTTTTTGCAACAGCACAGGCCAAGATTAAATATATTTTCCCCCTCAATTTAACAAGTTGCTGACCACAAATATAAATATATGTGTATGTGTTTGCAGCCCTGTGTGTGGATGTACACACGCATGTGTGTTAAACCGCTCAGGTTTTCTAACTATCCCCTTGCACATTCCTCATAGTTCACCGATGGGAGAAGAATCTTGCCCTTTGCAGAGAACTGGATGTCAGTGTGGCTTTGACAGGGAAACCCAGCAAGGCCAACTCTGCAGTGACAGCTCTGGCCGTGTCCAGGTAACAACAAGCTGGCTGCTCCAAGCCTCCAGCAGAGGGCACTGTGCTGCCCCTAGGAAGCCCTGGCTGTTGTACTCAAGACACTGGGCCCTAGGAGGTGGACTCACGACAAGGACCCAGGAACCTGGGGGGCCCCAGCATGTACAGTAGCAAGATGGCCATGTAGGGCCTAGGGAATGGTTCTTAACACACATATTCTTGCTCTTTCTTTCTCCCTCTCACTCTCTTGAATGTCTATGAATTCATAGAGAAATCCAGAAAGTAAAAGTATATTGACTTGTAATTTTATCCTAAAGAGGGACTTTTTTTTCCTGAGGTCCCTTGATGATTGGTATGATGGTTTTCCTACATTATAGAAAATGCCTTTCAAGGATTTGAAGCCAGTGTGGAATGGACGGGTGTCAGATACTACCCTTGGCAGCATTGTTTTATTCTTTACAATTATTCAATGGTGGAACTTAGAATCATTAGCCTGTTCTACACACTAGGCATGTTAGTCTTAGGGGACCAGATCTTCAGGAGTCCTGTCCTTCTCCCTGGAGTGGGGCACCCAAGTTCTGCTGTGGTGGGAAGGCCAGACTGAGGCAGGGTGGCTTAGGGTGGGGCATATGGGAAGGGACAGAAGGCCCTGAGCCTTCTGTTCTTTGCTGGAGAACTTGCCCTACCTTCTGCCTACCGGCCCGGCTGCATAGCTCAAAGGATAGGAGATACTCCCAAAGATGCTGAAGGGAAAATGTCAGGGTCTTGCCCTGTTCCCCAGAGCCCCAGCATCTGGGAGCGTCCCCTCAGTGCTTCCAAAGCCATAACTCTCCTAGGTCAGAGCTCTCCCTGAGTCACAAGACTCTCCCCTGCTTCAGGTGGAGGCGAGGTGCAGGCTCTCCTGGGGTCCTGGCCTGAACCCCCTACCCCATGTCGTAATGTCCTGCGTGCAGTCTGGGATAAGCAGGGTGCACAGGTTTGCTCTAATATTCCTCTTTATTTGTTCTCTTCCCAAGAAACCAGACCAAACTCCTGGTTGGTGATGAGAAGGGAAGAATATTCTGCTGGTCCGCGGAGGGGTAGGAGGCAGGAGCCGGTGGAGGCTCTGGCACGGCGGCCATGTGACCCAGCGGGCAGCAGGACTCAGGGCTCAGACGCAGCACCTGGGATGCAAAAGAAACCCCCAGGACCTCCCTTCCAACAGGTCCCCGAAAAGGAGGCCACAGGCCGCTGGAGCTCCATACCCTGAACTTTGGCCTTGGATTACACAAGGATGTGAATCAATAAAACAGATACACATGTGCATCGGGACCCGTAAGCAGCCTGCTGGAGACTGTGGCTCACGGGTGCCAACCAGCACTCGCAATTACACAACTCATCTTTCAAAGGGCTTATTGAACTGAAAAAACATTGGGCTGCTTCCTGGAAACTAGTGGGAAATATGGTATTGTTATTTTATTAAAACAACTATTTTCCAAATAGAAGAGGGCTCTTGAATTTAAAATTGCCAGCCTTTCCCACTGAGGTATTTGTGGCTTCACACTTAGAAAGGCAGAAAGGCCTCAGGGATGCACAGCCCACTTCTGGAGTGTTTTTCAGCCCTCCATTTCCCTCAGTGGAATCAGAGGAATCTTGTGGTCTTGCTCTTTGTGCAGGGGACCTTGGGGAGCAGGAGATCACATTCAGGAGGCCCAGCTTCCATGACTGGGCTCAGAACAGACACGATGGCTGCCCACCGCAAGTATAGGCAAGTCAGCTGGGAGGACGCACCCTGCCTGGGGTGCCTGCCCCTACTCTGCATGCCACAATGGGTCCTGGCTGGGCTTGGGCTTAGCAGGCTTTTCTGGGGACCTGTCTTTACAAGGTCAAGGGCCCCAGTTCACATACTGGTTTTAAGCTGCAGCTTATCCTGGGAGAATCTGGACTGCCAGGTGACTTTTCTCCATCTGAAAATAAATGGCAGGGGGCAAGTATTGAGCCCCTCTGAAAAATTCCAGCACCTTAAGATTCAGGCATTAGACCATGAAGGCAACACCCTCATTCTTACATCTCCCCACCTCCAGCCTTCCAGAAACCTTGAAAGGAAATTCACCTGCCTCTTCAATGAAATCCAGCTAAGGTGAGCACCCAGGGATTTGGGGTGGCAACACTCCTCAGCTTTAACTCCCTCCCCAAAATTTCCCTTCTAAAGAATACCAATTCTTCCCATATTTCTCTAAGCCCTGCAGACGCCCTGGTGGGTGGCCCATCCCAATTTAGCTCAGGCCTGGGGCTAACAAGAAAAAGAACACAGTGTCTCATGGTCCAGGTCATCTGGCCTCCAGGGAGCAGTGAGTCCATGTAAAGATAAATATTAAGAAAGTAATGGTGGTGTGAACTGTGTCAAAAATAGTGAGTGAGTGAAGGATGATTAGGAAATAGTGATCTGTCTGTCAACTTCGAGCTCTTTGCAAACGGAAAGATGGAGGAAGAGACTCAGCTCAGGTCCAGAGCACCCCTCTCTGGGTAAGGAGGGCATGTGTCTGACCCCGGAGGCAAGGATCATGCCTCCACCCATACTGTCTGCATGTGCTATTAGTAGACAGCCCATTTGCAATGCCCTAGTCAGTCTGGACCTGGAACGGAGGACCATAAATTGAAGCACAGAGAGCACCCTCCCCGGGAAGGCCAACAAGCAAGGTCATAAATATCAAGGGCTGTTGTCATGTTTCAAAACACAGCTCATGTTATTTACCCCAGACTGAGAGGTCTGCTGGCCCAAAGGCTGTCTGGGGCTCATTCATTCAACAAGCATTTCCTGAGCTCTGCATTTTGGTTCCCCAGGTCACAGGAAAAAAATTGAAGGATGAGGGTGGATCTTGTTGCTGGGGTCTTGGAGCTAAGATGCTTGTGCAAACAAATGTGACATGAGGTGGCAAGGCTAAAGAGAGATCTCTTGTGTTCTAGGGCATATCACTCTGGCTGGGCTCACTTGCTAGGACTGCCAGGACTTGCTAGCCCTGCAGGCTGGGGGCTTAAACCACAGAAAGTTTTCTCACAGTTCTGGAGGCCAGAAGTCTGGAGGAGTGTGTCCTCAGGATTGACTTCTTCTGAGTCCTCTCTCTTTGGCTTGTGTATAGTCACCTTCTCCCTGCATCTTCACGTGGGGTGGGGCAGGGAGGAAAGCCCCAGGAAGAGTGGGGATCCAGAGTCAGAAGGTCGTTGGCAACCTGGGTGGGAGGAGACTCCAGCTGGTCTCAGCATTTCAGAAGCAGCCAGCCTGGGGTCCCTGGCAATTGCCAATGGTGGAGGGAAGTCCAGGACAGAGGCCTGATGAAGGGGGAGAGAGCAGGCACTAGGGCCCCCAACAGCCAGGGCAGAGGCTGGGCCAAAGTATAAATAAGGACCACATGGATGCAGCCCTGCTGACACCCCAAATCCAGCAGAGATGAGGGGCCTAGGAGCTGGAGCTGTGCCAATCTGTGCAGCCACAGCTCAGCATCCAGAGACCGGAATCTGGGGCCAGGCATACACAGTGATGATCACAGCTGAGAGAAGTGCCCAGGGACCAGGGAGCCTGAGCCCCATTCCCAGGGTCCCTACTGCCTGTCAACTTTGGCCCCAGTTTCTGTATCTGGAATATGAGACTCCAGTGTCCACATGATGACTGGTTCTGAGATTAAAATCACATCTGTTTATCCGATGGTGGAATGAAGCAGACAACAGACCTCTCGACCTTAACATGGTGTCATCTTTCAATGCATCACTTGTTCATTCACTCACTGGTATCTTCTCTTGCTGAGCCAGGCCTTGTGCTTGGGCCCTGGTAGAGAGCCATTCTGCCCCTGTCCAGGAAGCCCTCTGCCCAGGCTGGAAAGAGACACAAAGAAAGCACAACAGGAAGCAAGTCACTCTCACACCCAGAGGTTTATCAGGCTGGAGCCAGTGTGCTTACGCAGGGATGGCATTGCTACAGGAATATCCTGGAATGCAAGTCTGACTCCCAGGTGCTGGGTCTCAGCTAGAGCAGAAGCCACAGTCTGTCTGTTTTTGTGTGTTTTAATCTCTTGAATGACGCTGATATGGGCTCTAGAGTCACCACTTGGAGACATTCTGGAGTAGACAGAGACAGGCTGACTCTGGAGGTATTTGCCCACTGCTGCCCACCCTGCAGTGTTAGATCTGGAGGTATTTGCCCGCTGCTGCCCACCCTTCAGTGTTAGAATTGGTAGCTTGTGAGGGGCCTCTGGGGTCAGGGTACCCCCACATCCTACCCACCTTCACCAGGTCAGCCTGAGACAGCAGTCATGCGCAGCTCTCACCCAGCTGAGCTCCTCCCGTGACACCTTCTTAATCACTGAGAGGCCAGCACCCAGCCCACCTCCACCAGCCATGCAGCAGCCCCTGCTCCCGCGCTGGGAAAATCACAGCTCTGTCACCAGCAGATAAAGGCTGCTCTCCCACCCATCCCTCATGGTAAGGCTCCACCTCCTCTGAGAGGTGGGAGAGAGGAGCCAGTGCAACAGACATTCCTCTAATTGCACAGAGGAAAGGAGGATTCTCTGTGGGGCTGTGAAAACACCAGATCAGGGTGTGCACCTGAGTCCACCTTCAGGAAGATGTTCTACCTGGGGTCCCAGGGAGGCTCAGGATGCACCCATCTGGCCATCTGGACAGGTATAGGCCCACATGGACATACATACTTAAAAGAAAGAAGTATTAACTGGGCATCTCATGTTCGTATTTGCTAAGTCTAGGCAACCTGCTCCCTGGATCCCTTAGAGGCCATAAAAGATGGTACCCTGCCCAAGGGCCTGATGCACCCAACAGGTCCTCAGTGTGTGACAGGTGAATCGCTTCTTCTGAGCAGACTGACATTCAACAGTGGAAGCATGTGGAGGGCCCACATGGGGCTCTTCGTGCCACCAATCAAGCTTCCAGGGCCTCTGCATCTCCCTGGCTCTCACTCCTGGTGACAGAGCCTCTCGCCCCTTGCTGGCCCTCTGCTTTCATTCCTTTGTTCCCTGAGCTCTAAGAGCAACCCAGGGCCTTGGAAGTCACGTGTGACAGCAACTGCCTCCCCCGGTCTCAGGTAGCAGCCAGGAGCCGAGTCCTGAGAACCCAGTTCCAGGGCCTGCAGAGAACTCGGAGATTGGATTTGACCACATTAACATGCAGCCAAGCAGGGCACATTTGGGGAGGAACAAACCCTTCTTATGAAAATCCTGATGAAATTTGTTTAGCATGAAATCAAATCTCTTAAACCAAAATCGGTTTTGCTTTAGTAAGTTCCTGGGTATATGACAGATGCCCAGGTGGGGTGGGTTGTGTGTATAGGGAGTGTGGGCATGCGCACACGCATTCAGACCTGAGTCTGAATGCTGGCTTCCATTGCTGTCTGACGGGCTGCTCCCTGCAGCACCTTCATGGCTTCTTAGTAAATAGAAGGAGTCTCCCAATTGTCTCCTTCCTCCAAATCTCTGAAATCTCAGGGAACACTGTGTTTCCCTGGCTGTGGTCTCTGCCCCACAAGCTGATAGATAGAGACACACCCCTTGTCCAAGACCATTTCCCACCATTTATCAGGAGAGCATCATTAGAGGTACAGAACTCCGCAATGACTGGGAAGTGGGTCATGCCCCAAGAGTGTCTGGTGCTCAGGAAGGCTGAGAACACTTGCAGAGGCTTAGGCAGCAGGGCCAGTGGCGGGGGGGGTGCCCTCACGGGGCTAGAGGTGATACTCACAGGGAAGCCGGAACAGGGGGAGTCCTTAGGGATCAGACCTTAAGGGCATGCAACACCTTCCAGGCAACTTCCTACAAAACAAAATGGGTCCCCAGTGGATGACATGCTCCTGTGCAGTAAGGAACACAGCCCTTGAAAGCAGGGTACTCCCACCCCTCTTGAACCACAAGCTGGAGAAGCCCAGGGACCTTGTCGTCCATGGTACAGCGGGAGCAGAACCTCCACTGGCATGAGAGGCCTCAGCTCTTCAGAAGCCTGTAGTGACCAGGGCATCGGCCAGTTGTGTCCCCGGCCCATTTAGTCCTCAGCAAACCCAATAGTGACACTCCCATCAGCCTAGGGGAAGGGGCGCCCAGCCC